GTTTTGCATGCAGCCTGCAACCCCAGGCTTTTGAAAGAGATTGCTGAAGAGAAGCAGACCGTAAAGACTTTGTGTCTGGGATATGAATGATGATATAGTTGCATGTTCCTCTTTGAATTGGACAACCAACATTTAAGACTCGATCCATTCTTCTTTGGGACAATCTCTGAGGTGCACGTCTCTTATCCCATTGGATTCTCGGTACAGGCCACCCTTCAGCTTCTCAAGTGCATTTTCCATTCAACAAAATACAATGCTCGCTATACACGTTGTTGATTCCTTTCCGGATCATGATGGGCCCCAAACCAATTGCAGGCAGTTGGTCAAGGATTTGAACCTCGAGAAGGGCAACAAGAAGAACAAGAAGGGCAAGGGCAAGGGGAAGGCCAACAAGAAGGAGAAAACGGCTGAGACTGCTAGTGGGCCGAAAAAGACCCCGAAGTCAAAGACTTCGAAGGCCTCTAAGGGGAAACCTTCCAAGAAGGCAAAGGTGCCAAGGAAGGGGAAGAAGACCCTTGAACACCAATCCGAGCCTTCTCAGAAGGGGCCAAAGCGTGCAAAGAAGACCACCTGAGCGTGGATGTTGGATTTTGAACAAGACTCCATACAAGTTTGGTTTCTATGTGTTTCATCATCTAATGTGGGTATGCAGAACCATCTTTCTTATATACAAATGAATCTGGTAGGAAGGAACCTATCCTGTCAAAATAATGCTTTGCAGAGTTTTGCGGGACCCATCCACAAGCTTGGGCTTTTTTGGGAAACATGCCATGTGGAAAACCACATGACTCAATCTTGGCATTCACAAATGATCAAAGCTCTGGGGAAGTAGAGCTCATGTTTCAATCTGTGGTGATGACCACAGCATACCAGTTCACAGCGTGCTAACATGCATCTATACCGCTTCAAAGAAAAAAGGCGTGTGGGAATGCTTGCGGTTGTGACCCAAGGATTTTTGAGCCCATGGAAGGCTTCAAAGCTTAACCTGAATCATCCCCAGTGACCTTCAACTCGCCCTGGAGAAAACCCTGCTGCCATCCCATCCCGACAATGCCAGGTGCCTCGCAGAAAGCAAGAAGGCTGGCATGGAGATACAGCCGGGGAGTTGCTTGGATGTAATGCCAATGACGTTTGTTCCAATGACTTTGGGGTATAGATCAATTATCTTTTGCAAGCCACTGTGCACAACTAACCATGCAACACTTGCATTGTATGGTTCCAGATTGCCCCTGCAGTTGCAAGTGAATAATCGTTAATTCGAGCCACTATCTTTGAGCTTGCTTGTTTGATATGGATGCAGTTCCCCAACAATGTTGAACCCTTCGCAACATTGAGTCCATATACCATACAATGCGTTGACCAGGACAAATGCCGAGAGATCATCCTCGACGCAGCTGCGGAGTTGAGGGATGCACAGCTTCGACATGACTCCTGGCCTTGCCCTATCCTCCGAGCTTTGGCAGCGGTGGACCCAAAGAAGTCCGATTCTGGGATCATATGCGCTTGTTGTTTTTGGTCGAGTCTATACCCTGGATTTGTTTCAGGCATAACATCTGGTTGGGGAGTTTCACGTATGGGCCAATCTTCATCACTGCAGCTGCTGGATTTCTCCACCTGACTTTTTTGTGGGCAAAAACTATATAGGTGTTTCTTTTTAGCCTTTTGATGTGTCACACCTCCATGCTGAGGAAGCTGGAGTGCAAGAGATTTTCAAGTGTCACAATTTCTATTACCCGGTGGAGGTGACCATTGAAGAAAAGTCACCATTGCAAGGGTTCCCCTGGCTGAAGCCATCAAATGTCATCAAGACTATGTACAAAATGAACGACTTGCATCACTTCCTGGGGGGCCATAGCCTTCAAGATGCCAAACCTTTGCTTCTAACATTTTGGCAAAGGTTCAGATCTATTCACCCGTCCCACCAGTTGTGGAGCCAAGTGGACAGAGGGGAGAAAGACATTTGCAAGTGCATTCCCTTGTACTTGCACGGCGATGAGGGAACCAGCTTCAAGAAGGGAGGAATTCTGTTTCTATCTCTTCAAGGAGCACTGGGGTATGGAACAAGCAAAAGGGCCCAGGAAGTGGAGCAAAACTTGAGGGCTATGGGTGAAGGTGTTCCTTTGAACCTGTTACGCAGTGGACTTCAGACCCGGGTGATGGTTTGCAATTGCCCCAAGGACTGTTTGGCTGGGATGGTGTGATTTAAGCTTCTATTTAAATACCTGTGACCCTGCCTGGATACAAACCTTTGTCCATGATGCTAAATGACATCACCAGTGCTTTTTTAAGTTTGTCGTGTATGCATGCACGTTTCTATAACTGCCCATATGCTTCAATTTGCCCTGCACAGGACATGTATTCTGATGATCGCCGGGTATGGAACCGAATCTTTCAGATGCTTTCAGAAGATTTGGCCGTTTGTGAAGCTGGACTTGACATTGATGGAGCAATCATATTTCCAATCATCCTTGGAAACAAAGGAGACTGGTCCTACCTAGTTTCTTGGTGTTTTGAATGTTAGTGCTCCTCGATATCGTTGGCGGGTTCGCCAACGATCACAAATCAGTGCCATGCCCCATATTTCATTATCCTGCAAATGTGTTATCAATCTCATGCAGTGCCAAGTCCATTCATTGACACAGGTTTCCAGCGCGAATTTGCAACGCTCTTATAGAAGGGCTCCAAAGGGCGCTGGAGAAGAGGACTTCGGCGTGGAAGGAGCTGGGATTTGCCATTTGTGCACATGTGGCCAGGGTATTGACTGGGAAGACATGCAGCTTCTTTGTGCATCAACATGTTTTTCTTTGCGCTATCATGCGGATTAATCCAAAGGAACATGCAGCATGTTACAGGGTCTACACCAAGATTTCACATAGCTATTTTTATCTGGAGGTTTTATCAACAATCCCATCAGGTGACTTTCACCCCATGGATGATCTTCCCATCCAGCCATTCCCCATCCAAAGAGATCCCAAGGAAAGCTGCTGAGGAAGCGATGGAAAGGTCACATGTGGTGGACCAAGAGCCTCCTTGGGACAGAGAATCTCCCTTGACAGCCCTCCTGCTTCACGATGATTCACCAAATGGAAGGAACCGCTTTCATTGTTTGGACATATGGCACGCAATGCATTTGGGTGTCGGCAAAAGTTGGGTGGCATCAGGAGTCATGTTATTGCAGAAGCTTATCCCTGAAAGCAGCATCGACAAACGGATTGCTGTCATCGGTAGGCAGTACAAGTGTTTCTGCAAACAAAAAAAGATAGACCCAGTGCTACGGAAAGTCGACATTCACACCTTTGGTGGACCTGGTGCAAAGGAACGCAATGGGTCTTGGAGCAAAGCGACCGTGACCAGCAACTTTATGCTGTTCCTTGAAGAGTTTTGCAACGAGAAAGCTGAAAGAATCAGAGAAGAGGAGGCCCTCAGGATCTTTGTTTCTTTGGTGGAAATTGCAAGAATAGTGTTCTTGATTTTCTTGCGTGCATTCCATCCTGAAGCAGTTGAGCATATGTTTGAAATGTAATCTCTTTGGGAACCTTTTTTGCATATATAAATGAACCCTGTCCATCTTTGTGTCTTTTCCACCCATCCTATCCTGAGGCTTTTGGCACGCAGCAGGTGAACCGATTTTTCCGGGGCATCTATGCAAGCGATGCATTGATGGCTAGAGAGAAGGGGAAAGAACTGAGCGATGCGCTCTACAACTTCATATCTGCATATCTTTGGGAAGCTTTTTCAGCATATCGTGCCGGTATTGCAGCATTTCCTTTGTTCCCCAAACTACATGCTGTCCACGAAGTTGCATTTGCCATGCGACGACAGGCACGTCAGGGGCCATGGGTCCAAAACCCATGCGTTCACGCATGCTTTACCGACGAAGATTTCATTGGTCGTTGCGCAGCATTGTCCAGATCTGTGAGCCCGATGATGATCCCGATGCGCACATTACAGCGGTATCTCTGTCACCTCAATATCCTATGGGCCAGGGCGTGATATGGTGTGTGATGGAGAAAAAGCGAAGGGGGAAGGGTTTGGATCTGTGTGTATATAGAGATACTTGAGTGTGCAAGAAGGATCAAGAAGGTGCGTTTTGATGTTTCCTGTTGATGCACCTACAAGAAGGACAAAGTGTATGGGGAATTCAGGATTCCAAGCCAAGAGCAAAGGGATATGAAATCAAACCAATGGACGTGAAAAACCGTTCATGCTTCGATATGGCCGTGAAAGTCTGATTGTGGACGTGATTATTGGGAAATATGGCAAAAAGATGTCAATTAGCATCATGGACAAAGATTGGTGTCCAGGCAGGGCCGCAGGTAGCGTATACACATCCACATGAGGGGGTTTACTGATCATTTATCTCAACAGAGTAACTATAAAGGCTTGCAAACGGTGTCTCCATATGATGTTTGCACCGTTGGCGCACAAACGCAATGCTGGCCCATGTGCCAAAGCAATACATTCACCACTCCAGGCTCGCCATTTGGCGGTAGCCTGTTGTCCCCATGGGTTCCGTCGGTCACTCGACAAGCAGCTTTGTGAATGTGGACATGGAAGAATTAAAAGATATGGCTGGAGCCGGGGATTTGGAGTGAATCAACAAGGTTGGAGGACAACCCAAGCCGTTGAAACAGTCTTGCGTGGACTCTTAGTCTGGGGTGATAGAGGTGAAGTAACTATATATCTGCAAGCAGAAATTGAAAAACAATATCAACGTAGCGAAACACAGTGGTCACCAAAAACAATATGTAACAATATTAACATACTACATGTCCAATCCATTTTTGACTTACTTGGATAGGTTGTCACTACAGCATGCCACAGCTTCCAGGTTTCGATGTGAATAAATCATATTTGTTCGAGTGGACTGGTATGTTTGCTTTGCACTTCTGAAGCCATTGGCACTAGAAAGAAATCTCAGACTTGCACATATATTTAAAACAAAACGTGTTGTCAATGCAAGTTTGCTGCAAACGGATGATTCTCTGCAGTCCAGGAGCTTTTTCTCTTCTTTGACTTTTTGACTTTCACCTTGGGTACGGTGCAAATTGATAAGCCAGAAGCAACGAATGCAAAAGATCACCTCCTTTTTTACAACAATGGTAATGTTGATAGCAATTAGAACATTTTAGAACAGTAATTAAATGCCACTCCGCAATTGCAGGAATGGTTGGTCCTAAACACTCATGAGGAAAGGAAAAACACACATCATGAGAGTGTGTGCGCTAAATGATATCGTCAACCTATGTCAACCTCTAATTCGACAGCATGAACCCTGCTGCCTTTGCAAGTGGCCTATAGTCCCAAGATGTTTTGTAGGGATCCAGTTGTACCTTCTCAGGTACGGTGATGTGTTCGACACTGAGACATGTAGGTTCGGAGAGTCCAGTCCTACCTTCGGTTCGGTACGACTGGATGGAGTCGGGTCGCTCCGAAGTCTCTATGGAGGAAATAGATAACTATTGATCCCCCAATGTAGATAAATCCCGTACTCAGCTGCAATGCCTAGAGAGGTATACCGAAAAGGGCATCAGTCTGACGGCAAAAGGGATTGAACTCCGACCTTCTCGGTCGAGCTACCTGGGGCCCTCCAAAAGTACCTTTAAAAAAATTGACATTACCAAAAAATAGAAAACACAAATACAGTACTTGTACACATGTTCTGATGCACGAGTACGAACTGAGACTCCAGGTAGCTCAGGTGCAACTCAGTTGCCTTCTTCTTGGACCTTTTTCGACTCGCCGACTCCGATTCTTCCTGCGGCGGGTGATGCGGCTGCTTACGGCGGCCAGCCGACCAAGCAGCAGGCAGCATCCAAGGCGAGTGGTCCAACGTGCCCGGCTAACACCCAAAGCAACCAAAACCTGCTGATCGAATCCGAAACAATCTTTCCCTTACCGTAAGAACCACTGATGGTGTGCCCACACTGTTTGGGGAACCATCCATGTCGATTCTGCATGTCCTGGTCACCCACGTGTTCTTTTTCCTCCCTCCAGCTCCAAAGCCGTCCAACTCGGTCGGAAGTCCCTCGTTTTTCCTCCTCGGAGCTGGAGGAGGCCCGTTCTCGTTTCTTCGATTTGCCTGCACGAAGCAGCGAGAACCCCGAGGCGGGCCGTGGAGAAATGTCTTTCCTGGTGGAAGCGGAAAATCTTTCTGGTAGTTTTCGGGATGGTTTTGGGAATTCTGGATTCACCCAATCGTACAGGAGAGACCTTACCCAGGCAACGAGGCACAAGACAAACCCAGCACTTGAACGAAATGACTTGGAAAGCTCAACCAGTGGCGAGTCCTCTGCCAAATGTTTACTGTCAAGTGTCAAAAAGAAACAATGCGGACCTCATGCGGACGGATGCTGTTGCTCTTTGGGCTCTATGACTCTATGACGGGACACATCCCCTATGACGAATACAGTAAATGTTTGTTGTCTTTTGCGAACGTTGTTTCTGTGCTTATTATTGTATCCCTGGGCTTCCAACAACTATTGAATATTGACCTATATACCGAACAAACTACCGAACAACCATTGTTTAAGGTCTTTGCATTGCAACACCAGGTCAACTAAAAAACAGTCAGTCTTGGAAGCCCGGCGCTATGTTCGGTTCAGGTCTGAGTAGGTGCTCCCGAAATACACAGCTTGTTTGGAAACAGCAAACCATTATTTAGTAGAAATATGCAGAAATATGGTGCATGATCAAGATCTTCCATCCGCGCCTTTCTTCTCGGCTTTCTTGGAATCTTTGTCAGCCTTCTTTTTATCCTTTTCCTTCGACTTCTCCTTCTCCCTTCCCTTCTCCTTATCCCTCTTCACGCTTTTCTCCGTCTTGCCATCCTTCACCCCGATCGATCTGGTAGCACCCGCGTCTGCGCATATGGAGCCGCAAGGGTTGCTACATGTGTCTCAGCAACCCCAAGAACTCTTTCCAGGTGATGTTTGACATGACAAAATAAACACCCCCACAAGGGGGCACAGTCGGAGGAACACATCACATGGAAGTGGGAAAACCACCTGCTTGGTAGGAGCGTCCTTTCATGGTCATCCTGTGAATTCGCCTATCCACGTAACCAGGATCTATTTCAGGGAGAGGCTCCACAGACCTCCACGGGGTGTTCCATCTTTCGCTCACCTGAGCATTTTCACTTGAGCTCCCCCACAGCCCAGCTCCTTCTAGGACCCGTGCAAGACATTGTAACTGTAGACAAACGTCATCAACTTGATGAACCGGACGATGGGGACCATCCATTTCGGTGTCCCTTCTCACTTCTATACGTGAAGCAACCATGTGCTGAAGCATTGTTTCACCCAGTTGTCTTCAAACAGCAATTATATAGATAGTGGCACGGCTTCCAATACAAGTTTAGTCCCATGTTTAGTGGACATCTAATGTTCTATCCATTTGGGTGTCTAAAAAACAGCGGCCAAAGGACTGCTCACTGGGCTCCTTCTTGGCATCTTTCCCTTTGGATCGCTCTCGCTCTTCCTCGGCTTTCCTCAGGAGATTGACCCCGATTTGTGGTGCAATTTGAGGGAACGATGTATCCAAACTTCCAAAAACGTGCACCTTTTGAGCGGTCAATGACCGATCCTTTGCTCAATGCTTGGGCGCCTGGCCGCCAAGCGCCTGTAAAAACCTCTTCGTCTCCCTCACACATGCCCAACAAATCCCAACCTTTTGAGTCGCTTGCGGACCTAGGTGGGCTCGAGTCCAACGCGGTGGGCTAGCACAAGAGACCAGCTCCATCGGGAGAAAAACAAGGCGTGCCCGAGAGAAAACGCAACGCAAAAGGAACCGACACATCTTCTGGATTACCCTGCCACGAACAAGCCGAAAACAAAACTGCTAGTCTGCTAGTGGCCTTTGAGAGAGAAATATCTTTCAGTGGCTGTTGCTTTCTTCAAGCATGTAATTTTTGAGGGAGGGTACATCCGTGCTTGAACTTCCTTGCGTTTTGATGATGGAGGGATGTGAAAAGACTCTTGCACATAGCCCCTTCTCTGTCCGAAGCTCTTCGCGGCTTCAGCCTTTCTCTTGGCTTCCTGGCGGGTCGTCCAGTCATGAGAATCACCATATCCCGAAACCGCCAGCTGCCGTCATCCTGGCCGTAACGCCTTACGCGAAAGACCATGAAACCGAGACAATCTCTGACCCTTGTTGATTGAGCTGCTGAGCTCTGAGATGTTCTGAGCATTTTCACCAGGGAGTGGAGTAAGATTCTGCATCTGGTGAAATGTAGACTCTTGATTCATAAAGCCCTGCATTTGGATTGTAAAGCCTCTTCATAGCTAAATGATCAAGAGGCCACTCAAAAGGCCTTCACCGCCGGAAGTATCTACTTCATGCTTACATAAAGGCACAAGTGAAAAGATTGAACCCTTGCATCCTCATGGTCCTCTCCTTATAAAATGCATTGCCTCTCTCTGTCATGGTCCTTTCCACCAATCCCCCCCTCTACTCTATGAAATGATGTTGCCTCCTCTTATGTCCGTTATCGGAACGGACCATTTCTCTGAAGTGAAGCTCCTTATCCCATTTCATAGTGGAAACAAATACTCATTTTATGGAGGACCAATCATGGGGGATGCATCCTCACATGTTCAGTGGCCTGCTTGAATGCCGATGTGCTGTGGTCAAACTATAGGTGCAAAGTTGAGCTTCCTCCAAAAGCAGTCTACATTCATGTGTCAAACCTGCAACAAGTTGGAACCCAGAAATCCGAACAAGTGGAGTCTGGGCTGAGGGATCGACTTAACTTATACCTGGACCTTCCAAACAAACAGCCGCCTTTTCCGAAACAAATGGCTATGGGTCATTGCACCGGGACCACGTTTGGAATTGGTCCCACCGAAGGGAGCTTTCGAGATCTCCAAGCAAGGTCAACCTGCCAGGATGCCACGGGGCTCCTGGTGCCATGACGGAGTCGTAGAACAAATGTTTTCAAGGTGGGACCAACAAAAAGTATGTGTTTTTGAAGGCTCCAAGTCCAGTGCCCTTCCCTGCCGGATTTGGAGCACTTGATCACCAGGCACCCGACGAAAAAACCTTGAGCATCCTTGAGCCAGTATTGTGTTTGATTACATCTGTTCGCTGAAATGCCTCTGGCGTCTGAGGATTTTGAGGTCGTCGCAAGGATCCGAAAGGTCAAATTGCCCCCAAGAAAAAGCGATGAAATCCGAGCATCATCCAAGCATCGTCCAAGCACCATCCCAGCATCATCCAAGCACCATCCAAGCACCATGACAATCAAAATTTGTTTCAAAATCCTTCTCCGGCTCGCAGGGAGCCATCCCCTCCATCCCCAGGAAACCGAGAAAATTCCATCCCACACACCTTACCCAGGAGCTGCATCCAGCAGCCTGCTAGGTCGCTTGACCGGGCAAAATCCCGCCTTCTTCCTGGCCGTCTCCTCCTGTCGGGTCCGAGGGAGTCCCTGGAGGACTCGTGACCATCACGGGCCTATCCCTAGATCCCTAGGGATCCGTTTTCGCACCTTCAGAAGGTGATTGGAGACACTGTTATGCAGGTGCCAGGAGGGGCCAGTAGTACCTTCTGAGAGGGCACGGCTGGATCCCTAGGCTATATACGTGACCGAACCAAGGAAATCAAGCTCACTGGGAAGATCCAGGCAGGCTACCATGGGCCCTCCCTGCAGGTCCAGTTGCACCGGACTCGGCACTCGTTTTGGTGGGACTGGGGTGCGTGCCAGGAGGGTCCAGCCATACCTTCTCAGGAGGTACGACTGGAGCCCTACAGGGGAAGCAAGAGTCGGTGGTGGACGAACCACCAAACGAGCGAACATAGTTGAATGTAGGGACGCAGTCAGGGCGGGAAACACATCTCACAAAACAGTGTTGCAGGTTAGCCATTGGTCCTTTGTCTGACACTGTCATTGTTTTGCTTTTTGCTGTTGGATGCAATGCTGCTGGCTTTATATACTATATAAGCTTCTTTATGGTCCAGCACGTGTCCAGCACCAGCTATTTATAGACCCGCGCTGGACCCCCTACTAGGTAGCAAGTCCCTACAAGAACATGAAAGAACCATCCTTTGGCCCCGAGGGATCCGTTTTCGTACTGAACCTCAGGTACGGTTTGCTGGTACGACACCGTTATGATCTGTTCAACGTTGGTGCCAGGAGGGTTCATGCATGCCTTCGGAGGTTCGGTACGACTGGGCCCTATAAGGGGGTGTTACTTGATCTCGTTGCTAGCTGATCGATGTGAACGCGGGACCGGCGAGCACCAACGGCGTTGTCTGGCCTTTGCACTACTGGGAGGCCATTGCTGAAACCCAGGTGGTTGTGCAACACATTAGTTTATTTTGCATGTTCGCTCTCGAATGGAAGTGCACTTAAGTTATTAGGAAAGGCAACATCGGGTTTGAATATCTACACAAAGTTTCAAAGAAGCCACCGCCGCGGTTCCAAGTGCACCATACCCCCCCACACACACCACAAACACTCACACTACCCCTTGTAGAAGAATCAGTGAATAGACTGAATAGATAAGACGAGGCACCCCCCTTCTCATCCTTCTCCAGGACCGGCGCCTGCGTTCTACAGTGGTTCGAACCCACGGGACCGGCGCCGCGCCGCGCCTGCTTCTTCTTCACCTCGTCTTCCGCCCCTTTGACGACCCACTTCCAGCCTGGGGGCGCGCTGTCATCCCCCATCGCGTAGAAAACAACCGAGTGGTGATCGACCGCAAGAAGGAAAGCCATTAACGACATGCGTCCCTACTCTGGATCCCTTCGGATCCCTTCAACCCAAAAGTGGGTGGGTCTTTTGGGCCGTCTCGGGCCTTCTGAGAGGCGAGGTTTTGAACCGCGGTCGTCGTCGGTTTCAAGGCAGTCGTCGTGTTGTGGCAAAGCCTTTTCTCCTTGGTCACGTGGTCTCCGTCTGCTACATGCAGAGTTCTCTTCTTAAACTATTAATGGTCATTCTCAACGAGTCACAGAAAAGGTGGGTAAAAGCTACCCATCATCAGTTGCAGCCCCTAACGGCTGTTGCAACAAGCGAACAACTTCCAAGTGGCCTTCCTGAGCTGCAATGTGCAATGCCGTTGCTCCGTTTCCAGCAGCTGCATCTTTGTCAGCTCC